AATTGAGCCCAACATCACTGTCTCTAAGTGTGACAGTTGTTAAGTGAATTTTGTCCCATTTTACGACCATTCTTGTCACAGTTGTTAAGTGAATCACTGTTGTTAACATTAGTCACATGGTTGTTAGGTGAATCTGGCTTCCCCATTGATTTTGCTTGTCAGAAAATCGCAAAACGTGATCCCATGACCCCCGGGACACTGCAACCGTCATAAATATGACTCCATTGCCAAGCATCTGAATTTTGATTACGTAACCACAGGGGACACGGTGGCTCAGTGGCTAAGACACTGAGCTTGTCGATCAGAAAGGCCGGTCAGTTCGGTGGTTCGAATCCCTAGCACCACGTGATGGAGTCAGCTCCCGTTATTTGTCCCAGCTTCTGCCAACCTAGCAGTTCGAAAGCATGTAAAAAAATGCAAGTAGAAAAATAGGGACCCCTTTGGTGGGAAGCTAACAGCATTCCATGCACCTTTGGCCTTTAGTCATGCCGGCTACATAACCACGGAGACGTCTTCGGACAGTGCTGGCTCCTTGGCTTTGCAGGGGAGATGAGCACCGCCCCCTAGAGCCGGAAACGACTAGCATGGATGTGCGAGAGGAACCTTTACCTTTACCTTTAACCACAGGGAATGCTACAATGGTCGTAAGTGTGAAAACGGCCATAATTCACTTTTTCATGCAGTTGTATGTTGAGGATTACCTGTCTTGACTGAGGTTCTGGGTAGCCTTTGTAGGTGACCCTTGGCTGTTTCTGATGCTAAACCAAGCCTGCGATTTTTCTCAGGTGGTCTGAAACCAGCCCTGGCTACTGGACTGGTGTGCTGGCTGGACGAGTCTGGACTCTCACTCAGTCTGAGGAACATCTCTGGTACACCTTACATGAGGAGGAAAAGGAGGACGGTGGCAGAGATGAAGAAGGCCTCTCCGAACCTCCCCTGAAGAAGAGCAGGAAGCAAACACAGCCAGAACCTAATCGTCCTGGGACAAGCGAACGTTCGGGCAGCCATTTGTCTGGAGAGCTGGCTCGGGCAATAGATGGGCTGACTCCTTCTCAGATCCTCCATGATTATTTCCAGCTGCATGTAAATGTATCTGCGCTATACCAGGGTTGGTCTTATGTTGACTCGCATTTCCGGGAAGTAGGTGTTAAATTCCCAGGTAGGCAAACTTAAAGAACTAGCACTGGAGAGTGATGTACTGCTACAATAAAAAAAAATATGGATGTTAAGAGATAGTACAATATCCTAATTTGTGTGTGAACACTTGTTTTCAGCGATGTTTTATTTAGTTGAGAGTAATTGACAAGTAGCAAAACTGTGCCTTATATCAAGAGCACAGAATTGAATTCTTAAATGTCTTTATTTGTATGCATCTTAGGGAACAAACATTGTCCTTGTCTGGCAGAGAGGGAGATTGGAAAACGAACAGAAAAGTGACCCCCAAAATGAGGCTTTCTTGAGGGCTCCTTGGTGCTCTCTGAGCTTGGTTGTTTTTTACAGACATTTTATTATTACCTGCACTGCGGATAATAAAATGCTGCACTGATGAAGTTACCTACATGGGTAATGAAATGTCTGCAAGAAAACAACCAAGCTCAGAGAGCACCCTCCTGTCAACCTTGAGCTACAAATACTTTCCTTTTTTGGTGAGGCTTTCTTGCTCAGGGTTCCCCCTCTCCTTACTGCTAGTACCCCGAAAACCCAGAAATCAGAAACCACTGTATAATTCAGCAGCGAAGAAAACTGAACTCCTTAGATTAAACATAAAGTACGTGACTAGTGATAGGAAACATAGCAAACGGATGGCAGGAAAAGACCTAGTGACTCTTTCTTCCCTCAGGCGTCCGGGTGCTGCGGCAGGACCCGGTGGAGTGTCTCTTCTCCTTTATCTGCACCTCCAACAATCACTTGTCCCGCATCACCAACATGATTCAACACCTGTGCCAGGCCTTTGGGCGCCGCCTCTGCCAGCTGGACACCAAGACCTATCACGCCTTCCCCTCACTGCAGGCAATGGCAGGTAAAACCTTAGGCCTCAAAGTTGCTTTGCGGCCTTTCCCTCCTCAAACCGTCCCGCCTACGTCCCTGACTCCTTCTCCGCTTCCTGTTCTATCCCCAAAAGGGCACACCAATGTCGGTAACAGTGTTGGAAGGGACCTTGGAGGTCATCTAGTCCAACCCCCATTCTCGCAGGGGACATGTACAATATCTGGTAAATGGCTGTCCAGTCTCTTCTTAAACGCTTCCAGACTACATCAAAAAGAAATACTCTTCTCTCTCCCCCCCCCCCCCCCCCCATTAAAAAACATATGTGCTACATTCATATTCCTGCTTCAGGGAAAGCTGCCCTTTATCCATCTATTCCCCTGGTTGTCTCCCCCATCTTCCAAGATCATTCCCACATACTATTATTCATGCTGACTTGCATGTAACAGCCCAGGCAATGAGTTGAGTCTCGACCACGCAGCACAGAAGGATAGAGGAGTTTACTAAGACAGGCCTCATCAGGTAATCCAGTAGGCCAGGGGTGTCCAACCTTGGCAACTTTAAGGCTTGTGGACTTCGACTCCCAGAATTCCTCATGCTGGCTGGGGAATTCTGGGAGTTGAAGTCCACAACTCTTGTCAAGGTTGAGCATTCAGGTAGCAGACACATTCTCTGAAGGCTTCTCTTTGTCATCCTCTGGCATCTGCCATCTCCCTAATCCTTCTCCTCCAATCCTCACACCTGTTTCTTTCTTCCAAGCAACCTTTATGCTTAACAAGCACTAAGTCTGAAGAACTGGCACTTCCTCACATAGAGGCTTTCTCTTCACCACACATAGGGAAGTTCTTAGTTGACGTCAAAGATCTTTTGGAGTGTTTGCAGAATGCCAGAGGGGAGAGTGCGGGAACACTCTTTTTAACCTTCCTGTTTCAGATGGCCTTGGTCATAATTTCCTCTTTCCCCATTATCCGTTTAACTCAGAGGTCTCCAAACTTGGAAACTTTAAGACTGGTGGACTTCAACTCCTAGAATGCTGGCTGGAGAATTCTGGGAATTGAAGTTCACAAGTCTTAAAGGTGCCAAGGTTGGGGAGCCCTGGTTTAACTCTGGAAGGACCATTGGTCTGATTTCTGATATCTGTCTCCACTTTAGAGTCATAGTGCTGGCTGATTCAATGTGAAACTTTCCTACAGTTCTGCTTTAAATCGCAAAGTAGCCCTTTCTGAAATGATAAAGAGCATAGATAAGTAAATAAACATCCACGTACCTTAGTTGTGGTCATAATTCCTATCAGGACTTTTCACTTACTATGCTTTGTATACCACCGGTATCAAAATCTCTCAGCAATCTGCAGCAAGGAAAACCCTTGAGAGCCATGTGTTTTGTAGGCTCTCTCAATATGACTCTCTGAAGACCAATTCAACAGTTATTTAAGAACTCTTAATTTATTGTAGGTCATATAGCTGAAGAAATGCTTTAAGTGCTTGGGAACATGATTCAGAAAGGATAAGGAATCCATTGGCAATTCAGGCTTGTAAAAGATGAATACACCCAAGTGGACAATGATCTGAAGGAAAAGTCAACGTAAGATTGCACATGGAAGTGCTGGAAGTTTAATTTAAAAAGGGAATTGACAATTGTTGGGAATGTAGACATCCACAGATGGTTTCGGGCCTGTCTAGTCTTCTCACCATCAATCAATAGAACAGAAAGAATGAATGGAACTGGGAGAAGATACACAGGCTCGTAAACTAAACTTTGCCAAATCTTCCTTGAAAAATCCTTTGAATCTTTCCTTGGGCAAGGATACAGTTTTGTTAGATGTGTAAAGACGTTGCCAGTGAAGGGTTGACTTGATGCACTTCCTATTCGCACCTTCGCTTAATAGTTATTGCTCATTGCTAGAATGGAGCCAAGTAACTGGTAGCTTAGGTAACTGAAACAAGTTAAAATAGAATAAAATAGATCCCACAGATGAGCTACTAAGATCCATCCTGTAGCAGAAATTCTATTTGTTTGCCAAAGGAAAATTCTGGGTTTTTTTTTTAACAAAGGGTAACAGTTTTTTGAAAGATTTGGCGAGAACAGTAGCAAATGTACGGTTGGGACTAAAATGAACAAAACTAATCCTTCTCTGATTAAAATCTTAGTTTGGAGTAGGTAACTCCTGTTGGAAGAAATATCCTTCTGGGTTCAGTTCCAAGTGGGGAAAAAGATACTGGAAACATGGAGGCTATTTGGAAAGATGGTTTAATGGTAGACAGGACCACATGGCTTGAAGCTCCAAAGAAGGATGATCACATGCTCCAAGGTGATGGAAAGGAGAAAAAAGGGCCAGCCAAGATGCTAAGAGACCCTTATATACCCTCTGTTGGGTCGTACCTTAGTGTTTCCTGTTCCTGTGCAAGAAATTTATCCCATTGGCTGTCAGACTCCCAGGGTCAGGGGTCTTAGCTGACTTTGTAGGCTTTCCTGAGTTCCAGGCTTGGTTGAGTCTTGCTGGGTGATGATGATGCACTGAAAGGGCTCTTGGGCAATTGCTATACCTTTACCTGGAGATCTTTGTTATGTAAAGTATTCTGGCCCAGGCCTTAATGGCTCACCCATTAACAAAGGTGCGGGGGGGGGGGCTGAGTTTCTGCCTCTCTGAGTTTCTACTTTACTCTTTTTAGGGGAAATACTCTGCCTTTTTAATATTTCCTAGGATATTTCAATTGTCTAGGAGAGGAGTGGGTACTAACTTCCTACACTCCGTTAAAATGATGGTATCATTCTATTGTTCCTTCAGTTGGCTGGTTGCAAGCTGTCCATTTCTCATTGTTAGGCAGTGGATTGATGTTTCACTGCTTGTTTATTTATTAAATTTACATGCCACCCATCACTCCCAAGAGGCAGCTCTGTTTCTTCTTGAAAATATAATTATTTCTGGATTTGGTTTCATTTCTCCACTTCTTGCAGGAGCAGATACAGAGGCTCGGCTGAGGGACCTTGGATTCGGTTATCGGGCACGGTTTATTAGCGAGAGCGCCCGGGCTGTCCTGAAGACTCTTGGAGGGGCCGCTGGCCTCCAGCAGTTGCGCACTGTCCCTTATGAGCAGGCCCGCCATGCTTTGTGCACCCTTCCAGGAGTGGGAGTTAAGGTGAGCATGAACCTGGCTCCCTCCCTCCCTGTTTTGCTGTTCAACCATAGCATGTGGGTTCAATTGTGCCTGTGTGTAGTTGCGGCTTGTGAAAAAGGGTTTGCCAGTCACTTCTGTGGCCTGGTTCCGAAGGGCTCGGTAGTGGGCAGCAGCCTAGCGGGGTTGAGGACCCAGGATACAGAGAATATGGTTAAATTTGTTATGGTGCGACTGTTTCCTTTCCCTCTCAGGTGGCTGACTGTGTGTGCCTCATGGCACTGGACAAGACTGAGGCTGTACCAGTGGACACCCACATATGGCAGGTTGCCAAACGTTACTATGGCCAAGAGTTGGGGATGGGGGCCCGCAGTGTGACGGAGCGAGTCCATCGAGAGATCGGTGAGGGTGCTTTGGAACAGGTTCTGCTTGCTGGCGGCCATCTTAAATAGCAACATTTAGCAGCAGCAACAGCACTTATATACTGCCCCCTAGTGCTTTAAAGCACTCTCTGGGCAGTTTAGAACATCAGCACGTTGTCCTCAACAATCTAGGTCCTCATTTTACCGACTTCAGAAAGATGAAAGGCTGAGTCAAGCTTGAGCCCATCAGGATTGAACTTCTGACAGTGAGCATTGAGTTCGCCTGCAATACTACATTCTGACCACTGTGCCACCAGGGCTCTTGTGGGAGCGGAATTGGAGCACGGGGGTCTACCAGTTCGCACCTATTCGCTAGAACATCTTATTTCCTATAGTGGCCAATTATAAACTCTGATAAAACTGGAGGGCAATTAGCCTTACAGGAAGCAGGGAGGAATTATCAATAGCAGTTCCTTAAGCAAACTTTATTTCCACGAGGTTTCCTTTTTCATCAGGTAGTGTTACAAAGGATAGTCTTGGTAGAAGGAAGGATAACTAAACTAGATATGTCAGCTTACCTGGTCTTCCACTGCATTGCCTCTAGTTGTAGTCCAGTCTTGGGACACCTTGAGGTCTCTGGAAGACAGTTCCTAAAAGCATAGACTGAATGAGCTTCAGGGGAATAAAGTTAAGCAAAGGGCCTAGTTGAGCTCCATAAAGAAAATGTACTTTCCAACAGATGAAGGGCTTCAAGTATGTAGTAGCCTCTTTGATGAAAAGCCAAATATTTTTATGCTTGGAATGTTGCCATCCTAAATTGTAATTAACATGGGTAGAATGTTTGTTTTTCTTTCTCTATTTTTAAACCTCTTAAATCATAGAATGATAATAAACCCTAATCATATTATATAACCATTACTGCAACGAAACCATATTAAGATTTATGGCAATGTAAGAAAATGGCAAAATACTCTTGTAAAAGCCTCTTTTAGTTTGAAAAAAAAAACACCTTAAAATAGAAGGGATTGTTTTCTGGATATTTTGGAACAGGGGCCCCCTGTTATCTAGATGCATGCAGAACCATACATGGATATTTGAAGCTTGATGCAAGTTCTGTTAAGTGTTTCATTTCTCCTCCAGCAGCCCCCTGGAACTGAAATACAATTGTATGGGAAGGGATGTGAACTAATTTGAGAAATCAACCCTTATTCTGCTGTTCAGGCTCTGTGGGCTTGTTCTCTGCCACATTCTAATTGAAGTTTGTTTTTTTTTGCCTTCAGGGAATTTCTTCCGCAGCCTTTGGGGACCATATTCTGGATGGGCACAAGCGGTAAGTATGAAATTGCTTTCCTGTTCTCCCATTTACTGCTCAGTGCTCGCCGCTCACTGTTGCCAGAGGAGGGTAAGATGTCAGACTAGGAGAATCTTCCTCTGTATATGCTGCATAAACTTTCTGTCTTTCTTATATTAGCAAACTGCAGGATCGATTTAGAAGACACAGCTCAGCAACACTAGAATCTGAATTCTTAAAGCTGTCTATCTTACCTTTTCTAGTGAGTCCTCTGTTCTCATTTGGTGGCCAAAGTATTTGAGCTTAGCTTCAGTATCTGTCCTTCCCAAGAACACTCAGGGTTGATTTCCTTTAAGATTGATTTGATCTGTATACATGTGAGTTTCAAAAATTTGAATAACCACTAGGTGGAAGCACTGAGACAGGAAAAAATTCTCCTCCTGACCGCCATCCACAGGTGACCTGAGTATTTGCAGCCGTATCTGATAGGTCCCATTTTCTTTTTGAATAACTGTAACCCTTTGTGCCATCCAGATTTTTCCCTCTCTCGCCAGGTCCTGTTTTGTGCCGACCTAAGGAAGAACCAAGAGTCCCCAGATCCGAATGCCAAACACCGTTGCATCAAAGTGGCCCAGAGCAGCCACTCCACCTTGACATAGTAACTTCTCTTGCAGCTCCGCCTTATTTATGGGACTGATACGGGCAAGGAAGAAGAGCCTCCCTGCTAATGGCTGGAGCCAGAGAGAAATCACCCATGCTAAGAATAAGGATTCTGTGAGCCGCTGAGGAAGGCTGAGGTTGCTCGGGGATCCTCAGTTGCTCCTTTTGTTTTTTAAAATTTAATTGTTTGTTTTTTCCCCCACCAGAGGTTGCTTGTAGCCTAAGCATCTCATGGAGCTGCCATGTGTTTTAAACAGTAGAACGTTTCCCACTTCTTCCTTGTGACTTTTGTAATCGCAATAGGGCTTGCTGTGCATTGGTAACTGGGTATAAGGCAGACTTTTCAAGCAGGCCATGGGAGAATCATTATCTCTGAACCTGGGGGCCATCGATTTAGAACGTCAAAAGCATCATTGTTTGGAAAGAGGTGACAAACATCAGCCAGGGAGCAATATGGATTCCCATTAAATTCCCGTTAAATAGTGAGGTTGATAACAGTTGCCTGAGGGAAGAGATACATTGAATGGGCTTTCCCCAGAGGAACTTGAGCTATTGAGTCTGTTAAATATCACCAGTAACTTAATGGTTCCACATAAAATTAAGGTAAAGGTTTTCCCTGTCTCCTTGTAAGCGGGCGGTGTTCATCTCAATTTCTTAGCTGAGGGAGCCAGCGCTGTCTGAACTCACTTCCACGGTCAGGTGGCCGGCACGATTAATACAACGAGGCACACAGAATACAGTTACCTTACGATAGCTATTTATCGACTTGCTTTCGAACTGCTAGGTTGGCAGGAGCTGGGGCAAGGAACAGGAGCTCATCCTGTCGTGTGGCACCTGGGATCTCAAACCCAGGCTGACAGCTTTCCAACTTGCTGAGCCATCCCGCCTCTCATAAAAATAAGACTAATCCTTTTTTCAGAAGGGACAAAATGTATGGCCAAGTTCGTGTGCTCTCTCTCATTCATAAAACCGTGTATGTACTGGGCTGCATGCACTCTGTTAATGCTGAATCAATTCAGAGGCTGCTTGCGATAGGCTGACTTTGGGTGGTGGATCTATTCTCACCTAGGGGAGAATAGTGGGGGACATGTAGCAGTATTCCAGTATTTGAGAGGCTGCCACAAAGAGAAGGGGGTTAATTTATTTTTCAAAGCACCAGAGGGCAGGACAAGAAACAGTGGATGGAAACTAACCAAAGAGAGAAGCAACCTGGAACTTCCTAATGGTGCGAACAATTAACCAGTGGAAACAGCTTGCCTTCAGAAGTCGTGAGTGCTTCATCACTGGAGGTTTTTAAGAAGAGACTGGACAGTCACTTCTCTGAAATGGTATAGGGCAGTGGCGGCCAACCTTTTTGGGCTCCTGTGCCAAAAATTGTGCACGCTCGCGCTCATGTGCCAGCACCCAGAAGGCAATGCATGCCCCCCTGCCCCCTACGCATGTGTGTGCAATCCCCACCCCTAACCCTGCCGCCCCCTTAACTGTACTGCGCCTCACAGCTGATTTTTGGCTGGTTTGAGGCCTTTTTCAGCCTCCTAGAGGCTTGAGAAAGGCTTCTGCAGGCCCAAAACTAGGCCCCTTTCGTCACTTCCAGTATTTCCAGAAAAACAGGAAGTGATGAAATTGGCCTAGTTTTCAGACAGCAAAGCCTTCCTTAAGCCTCTGGGAGGCCAGAAAAGGCTTCAAAACTGAAAATCAGTTGTGAGGCGTGCGCATGCTCAGTGAGGTAAATTTGCCTGCAGCTTACCTTCCGGCACAAATGGTTCTGCATCCCACTTGTGGCATGTGTGCCATAGGTTCGCTTGAGCAGGGGGTGGACTAGAAGACCTCCAAATCTCTTCCAGCTCTATTCTTATTAATTGACCGTTGGACTATTAGCTAAGAGAAGAGGGATCCCTACCATTCAAAGTTGGCTGAGGGTGCTAGTGTTTGTTTTTTTTTTACAATATTGTCAGTCTTGCCACAATATTGTCTTGCCACACAGTTGTGTCCCATGCAGTAAGTTAATCTTACCTAACTCTAACTCAAATCCTTCAGTCTTTTGCCCACTTACCTGGAGAAGAGCATTCTTGAATTCAGAACAGGTTACACACCCGAGTAAATGAAGTGGGTTGCACTATAAGTGAAGACCATCTCCAGCTGATTTGTGTTTTGCTGATGATGATATTGTAAAGTAGAGGTCCCCAAATTTGGCCACTTTAAGAGTTGAAGTCCACAAGTCTTAAAGTGGCCAAGTTTGGAGACCTCTGTTCTAAAGTATGACTGGGGAATTCTGGAAATTGAAGTCCACAACTCTTAAAGTCACCAAGTTTGGAGACCCTTGTTCTAAAAGAAGCACTGGTCATTGGACATAAGGCTGATTTCCAGGTGGTTTAACCGAAGTGGCAACAGTATTTGTGGTGCCAGAATCCAGCGTTAATAGGAATGTGTTTTAAGAGGTACTTTGTTTCATTTATGGTAGGATGTTTTGATGCTCATCCAGATGTTGAGCCGATTCCTTTTTCTTTTTGTATTTGCTTACGTATATGTGTCACAACAGTTCCAATTCTCTTTTGCTGCCTCATGTATTTAGAACGCTACCCCTAATATTCAATCCCTTGTAATATCTACCTTTTCTCGCTTTCATGAACTTTCGTTGTTTCTATAAAGAAGTTGTACATTAGATTCCTAAACCTAAACGATAAGTGTGCTGCAGCCTAACTAAGCATTTTTCTGATTTCAAGCAACATTTATATTTCCTTGAATCTCGCTAACAGAACAGAGACATTTAAAGCGCGGCACCTGGTCTGGCTGTGGCCCGTTTTTTTTTATTGTGTACTGTTTTAGAAAACTGTTATATATACATATGTATTCTCTCTTGCCCGAGTCCATTTCTTCCTTTTGTCTTTGACCATTTCTAGTGGTTTTGGGCAAAGATCTACTTATTTTTATCCTTTTATAAAGTGCTTCTAAGTTATTTCTAAGTGATGTATCAATCATAATAAAACAATCCTGGTTTGTCCCTTAGGCCTCTTCTAGCATGGTTTGTCTGTTCACGTTAGTTCCCTTAATGATGGTTTCCTCTTTGGGGGCCGGCCTTTGGCAAACCTGGGGTGAGGCTCGGCTTGGGTGCTTCCCTTTTAATACACGAACAAGCAGCAGCCTAGAAACTTCAGAGTTATGAAGTTCCTCTTGAACTGAGATGGTGGAAGAAAATGAAAAGCTATAAGCCATAAGACAAAAATGAAAAGCTATAAGCTTTCAAATCAGTCAGGAGAAGAGACTGAAGCATGGGGAAAGCCCGAGTTATATCAGATAAATGGCTCCAGGTCTGCCATGGAGGAAGACGGGTAAAACATTTTAAGAATGGAATCTTCACTAGAAAGTTTCTCAGCTACTTTCAAAGAAAGAATTGCCAAATTCAATCTCCCACTTCTATTTCATGCAACTAAGAAGTCGAAGAGGAATACATGAATTTTATCAGTCTGTTCTTACTTTTAAATTCCACCCTCCCTCTCTTTCTAGCCCAAAAATACTAAAGATAATTTTACAACTGTTAGGGAGTATTGAAAACATGGGATCCCAGCTGCCTTTCCCCCACTTTGTACTGCAACCACCTGCAAAACTCTTACATTTTTTTCTCTCGCTTGGGTAACTCTGTAAGAGGGAAGCAAAATGACCACTCTTAAAACGTCACCAGTCTATTTCCAGGGTTGGCAAAATGACGTTGGAAGAGGCACGGCTGGCCCCAAGGAAGCTGTGACCCTTCAGTGTACTCTAGTGTGCTCAAAAATCATAATCCCATAAAGCATCGCTCAGGATGTCCCAAAGGTGCTTTTCCAAAAGGCAACTGGACTTTCTTTCCAGAGCTGAAGAAGCTTCTTGGATGAGAAGCGAAACGTTTTCAAGAAAGTCCAGTTGCCTTTTGGAGAAAAATCAGCTTTGGGACAATCATGACCTGAACGATTGAATCTCCATCGATGCTGTGGAGGATTGCCATGGCCTCTCACCTCCAGAGGACAACAGGAAAGCTGCTCTAGCTCCTATATTTGACTGTAGAAAAACAATTCCTCCTCCTTTAGAAATGTCAATAGGTCACATAGGTGGAAAGCTACAAGCTACTGCACACTTCTGTCTGCAAACAAACAACCTTTATTCTCCAACGCTGAACGCAACTGAGCCAAGGGCCAGCTACGATGTATTTATGTCCTCATTCCTTGGGGTTGGCTTGGTTGGATCGTGTGGGAGAAGCAAGGGGGGGGGGTTCTCATTGGTTTTCTCAAGCGATGTGATGGTGTGCACAGCTGGAGATCAAAACTCCCCCTGGAGCGGCTGCTGCAGAAAGCCAGAGGGGTCTTGAATATTTCTTTCCAAGACTTAAGCCACTCACGTGATGGGCCAAAGAGGGTGGCATCGTTGCGGTCTTCAGATGAAGAATGAGCATGGGGGACAGGAGGGGTCTTGTTGGTGCGACCAACGGGGGGAGTGAACGGGAGGGGATAAAGCATCTCCAGGGAAGTGTGGGACTTGGAAAATACTAGCCTCAACTTTCAGATTCTGGAGGATGCCAATTAATAGGGGACAGGTTCCATTCCCCTACAATGGGACTCGGCCGTACTTTGCTGGGAAGATGGGATGGTGGTCCCAGACTCTTCCCTAGCTCTTACAACAGGGCTTGGGGCTGCCCGCTCAGTTATGATTGCTGCTGGCTCTGCCATCATTCTAGTCCTCTGTCCTTTGGTGAATGTTCAGTCCTGAGTTTGGCAGTGAGAGCCATTCCCCAAGGATTCCTCACTGCTATTAGTAGCCGAGCCTGAAGAAGACAAAGGAGGGGAGAAAAGGACAATCAAGACCAGATTGACTAGAAATCAGACGATTCCAGGGTTTCCTCTGATTCAGGAAAGGGAAGCTGCCCAGGAGGTACTTCCCGTCCTTAGTGACCAGATAACACTCCATGGTTGATAAGACTTTATTCTTGGAATGGGACTTAAGGAGACATTCTTTAGGAACAGCATCACATGAACTCAATAGCCCACTGACATACAACGAAGCTCCTACTGGCTTGAGCCCATCTTCAGAATGAGATGGCTTAGGAAGGTTTAGAAGGTCCTGAAGACCTGGTTCTTCTTCCAGCTGCTGGCCCAGTTGTCCCCCACTCTATGAGTCGTGGGCCTGGTCCCCAGCACGGTCAGCTTTAATCAGTACGTTTTGGCAGAAGAACAAGTAGGCTCAAAAGCAAAGATCAAAACATGGCATGGTTGTCACCGCTGGACGAATGACACCAAAGCTTACAAACAGAAGGAAGGGCTTTGAGGAGAAAGGCCACACAGAGACACTCGTAACCTCTCACCGTTGCTCTCCTGCATGGCTTGGCCAGGCCCCTCTTGACTGGTTCCAAGTTGTAGCTTCCTCATATGCCTCACCACAGCTGTTGCGTTGAAGGCTTGCTGAATGGGGAGGAGGGGAGAAAGGAGGAGAGAAAATGAACATGAAAAGCAAAGCAAATGTCCCCCTGCCACAGACTTTGGCAAGCGAGCAAAACTTTTGAGAGTCCATTCCTTTGGTTTCCTTCCCCATGCTGTCAAGAACATATTGATTGAGTGATCAAATTTATTTATTGAATGTATTTGTCACCCATCCTATAGCAAAAGACTCTCGGCAGCTTCCCGCATTAGCAATAGCAATAGCGCTTAGATTTATATACCGCTTTGTAATGCTTTACAGCCCTCTCTAAGTGGTTTATAGAGTCAGCATATTGTCCCCAACAATCTGGGTCCACATTTAAGGATGGAAGGCTGAATCCACCTTGAGCCGGTGGGAATCGAACTGCCAAACTGCTGGCAGCCGGCAGACAGCAGAAGTAGCCTGCAGTACTGCATTCTAACCACCGCACCACCACAGCTCTTTCAAAACCCAACAAATATCTTCCATGTTTATTTAACTGATGCTGGGAAAGACAGGAATAGGTGGAAATGTATTCAGAATAGTGACGTCCATATCATCCTTCAAGAAAAAGTATAAAAACCAAGCAAACGAAACGAGCGCTGGAATAATTAAAAAGCATCTTTTGGACCTCCTCACCTTCCATTTGCTTTTGGCAAAATTCTTTTTGATCTGCTCACTGACTGACTGATGGATGTTCTTATC